ACAATTGAGTTACTCATGGCCAAGTGCAGAGTGATGTCATGTAACCTTAACACTCTATTTGAGGGGCTCAAATGCAGTAGATTGATCATTGTGTAGGTTTAATTAGGAAAAGAAGGTCTTTTCTCTTTTCGCTAGGTATTGAAGGAAGTGAGGGATGAGACTTGCCAGAACAGTCTTTTTTTTCATGACTTGAATAGGTTCTATCTGCCTTTCTTGAACATGACTGCTGTTTTTCACATTCTCCCCATCAAAAGCATTTGGGTAGACGAGGTCTCTGGAGGTTCAGGCATATCACTATTAGAAATCCTCTTCAAAATTCTTTATCAGAAATAGGCTTTGGAAAGTCTGCCATAGTTTTCTGTAATTATGCCTGAGAGTTCTACAGTAAAGATCATGTTGAATATCTCCATGAAAATTTGTTGGTTACCAGGCATCTCCAGGGAGTTGCCAAGCCATAGAGAATTTCTTTTCTTCCCTGTGCCACCAGACAGGAAAGAAATCTTTCCATGAAGCTTTTTTAAGGGTATAGAGGACTTCTCACATTCAGGAGTAATAGCAATAGTGGTGAGACGTTAGAAGCAAAGTTCCAATTCCACATACATTTAATGGGTAACCTCTGCGATCCAAGTTCTGTGTTAGGTGCTGGTTCTGATACAAAAAAGAGCTAGAGAGAATTCTCGCCTCTGAGAGTTTATCATTTAAGAGGGCTTGCAATTTAGAGAATGAAGGAGAGATTGGAGTCATTTATTTTGTGTTTCTGGTTGGTAGAGGATGTGTCCCCTTGTGCCTTAGGATGCTTCCTTTTCTCATTCACTGTCTTGCACCAAATCTGAGTTTGTGTTTCCACCTGGATTTGTAGCCACTCTGACCTTCTCAGTACTATGCATAGTGTCACTAATTCAGCCTGGTTGTGACTTGAACAGAGCCAAACTATACGTTGTATGTAGGGCTTCACCTGGACTCTGCTCCTTATCCCACATAGAATGCAGCAGCTAGCTGCCACCCTGAGTGCTTAGCTGGCAATTGCTTGGAATGATTTCCATTATTATCTCTTACTTCTTCCCTTTCCATTTCCTGCTCCTCTTATCTCTGGTTTCCATTTAGATGCTGACATCAGAAGGAACACAGCCTCAAACAGCAAATCCATCATTTCCTCCCAATCCTTGTAAGTACCTTTTTTAAAAAAAAAATAAAACCTTGGGGTATGTGGAGTAGCAAACCCAGTTCTTGGCATATAGATGAGAAAGGCCATGCATGGATGAGGCCATCCAAATTCACAAAGAGGCAAGGTTAAAGTGATGGGCCTGCCTGATGGTGACAAGCCCAGGGAAAAAGAGCAGAAGATTATTGGTTCAAACGGGGTGAGCTCTGGTGGAGGCAAAGCTCACAGTGTGGATTGTTCCTTGCTCTCCTGATTCTGATTATACCAGAGGCCCCCAGAAGATCAGATCTCAAAAGAGAGAGCAATGATCATGATTTCTGATTATGAAATCAAATTGAACAGGTTCTGCAGTGTGGACTCAGTGAGGGGAAATAGTAGCTCATTTGGGAGCAACAATAGCCCTTTATAGACCACAAGGCAGTTTTACTCACTTTATTTTGTAAACAGGTGTTATAATCCCCATTTTGCAATTAAAGAAACTGAAGTGTAGAGAAAGGCAGTGAATACAGAATCGTTACCTAGCAGTGCCATGTAATGCTAGTAAGTGAGATTTAAGCCTAAGTCTTAGGACTATAAGACCAGTATATTTTCATTGTGCACATGTATCTGAAGATGATGAGAGAAGAGGCTGAGCAGAGTGTGGGTGCTGCCAGTGTTGTCTCAGCTCAGAAGTCACTGCGAATGGTATCAGACCCTGAAGGGAAGGATTCCATCTTCCCGTCATTTCTTTATGCTCAGCCTTCCCTGCATCTCTCCTTCCCAGCTCCCACTGCTTCCTCCACTCCACATCCGCTGAGGCAGTGGCCATGGGGCTCCTGAAGCAGTTTGAGGGGATGCAGCTCCCAGCCGCCTCGGAGCTAGAGTGGCTAGTTCCAGAGCATGATGCCCCTCAGAAGGTAGACTCTTCAGCTTATTTTCTCCACCCACTGTCCAAGCACAGGAGGCTGTGAGCCTTTCTGATATTGTTCTCCTTTGTCACATGTCCCCAGTCTAGAATGAACCTATGTGTTTCCTTCCTTACTCACAGAAGCTGTTCATTACAAATATGTTGAATGAATGAATGCGTACTTGCCTAGGTTTTCCCTAGCAATTGTCAAAACAGGAGATAATGGCTCCTTCACTGTCCTTATTCCACACGACTGCCCCCTAGACCAAAGGTGGAACTCCTGTGTTGTGACCACCTTTGAGACACTGAAAAAGTGAATTGTTCAGATTCTTCTTTGCTCTGCAGTTGAGTAAGGCATGAAGCACCCTGGCGTACCAAGGGTCTTGGGATGGGTTCAGGGACAGCATCAGCAATGGGTACCACCTCACTGGGATGCTGTTTCTGTTCCTTTTTCTTCTTGGAACCCAAGCTCTCACTTCCAGTACCCTGGTGACTTATGGTTTGTTTCAAGGGCCAAGGTTCCCTGAAGCCTTTACCTGTGGTGTTCCTGAAATGTCTTTCATTAACTATGCTTCTATCATGGCCGGAGGGTCAAGCATATGTGTTCCCCTGGACTGTCCATGTCCCATCACCCTGTGCTTTTCTCCTGCAGCTCCTGCCCATCCCTGACTCACTGCCCATCTCACCAGATGACGGGCAGCACGCTGATATCTACAAGCTGCGTATTCGTGTTCGTGGCAACCTGGAGTGGGCCCCACCCCGGCCTCAGATAATATTTAATGTTCATCCAGCCCCAACGTGAGTAGCCAGTATCTATGCCCTTTGGAAAATGAATACATCCTCTTTGGATTATCAGGGCTGTCTCCTCACCCTCTTGTCTCTGCCTCCAGCTGTACCTCCCACACAATTCTGTTCATTTAAAGGCAGAGGGAGGGCTGGCCCCGTGGCTTAGCGGTTAAGTGCGCGCGCTCTGCTGCTGGCGGCCCGGGTTCGGATCCCGGGCGTGCACCGACGCACCGCTTCTCTGGCCATGCTGAGGCCGCGTCCCACGTACAGCAACTAGAAGGATGTGCAGCTATGACATACAACTATCTACTGGGGCTTTGGGGGGAAAATAAATAAATAAATAAAATCTTTAAAAAATAAATAAATAAAAATAAAAAATAAAAAAAAATAAAGGCAGAGGGAGAGGACTATCCATCTTGTCCTCAAGTCTTACTCGTAATCCTCCCATTCCTTCCCAGACGTGACTGTTTTATCACTGACCTTCCCAACCTGTCACCTTCCTCCCAGTAGTTTTCTGAGCTTACTGGTTTTTCTTCTCTTAAGATGGATGGACGCTTTTCTTTCCTATTGTTCTCTCCTCTTTACTCTTTCTCATCTCTTACATTTGTACAGCAAGTGTGGTTCATTATTGGGGAGAGTCACTACCTAGACCTAAATTCTAACCTTATAAATCCTCGGTTTGAATAGTTTCTCCCAACAGGTTCATTTTGTACAACTCTAAAAAAATAGGTGGATTCCCATATTTAACAAGAGCCCTATGTTTGTACCCTCATCCTTTACGTCTCAGAGGCTTCATCAGCTGTATCTGCCAATCCCCTCTCCTTCCACTTTCCTCAGGAGGAAAATTGCTGTGGCCAAGCAGAATTACCGCTGTGCAGGATGTGGCATCCGGACTGACCCTGGTGAGCATCTTCTCTGACCCCCATATTGCCTCCAGTGGTTTACTCTCTTGCACACTTGGGAGAGGGGCTGATCAGAAAGGTAGTAAGAGGAGGTGACAGAGCAAAACTAGGGAAAGAGAAAGAAGGGGCCTGGACTTAGAAGGTAGGACTAGGCAAGATCACTGCCAGTCAGAGGTCAATTGTTTCTGGGAGCACATTGCCAGAATTCTATACTGGGGAAAATTGGACACTTTCGGTCAGGTTTTTGGAGGCTGGATCTTACCAACTTTGGCAGGGTTTGTTTCCTCAGTGGCCTTCAGATTGGGACACAGAAACCATAGGCCCCACCGTGTGGGTTTCTGCCAGCTTTGAGAGCTCAAACAGAGGTGGCTGGAGCCCACTGGCCATCCCTTCCTGCTCTTTCAAAAGGAACAGCAGAGCTGCTTCACCAGCTTACAGATGGGAGAGCCACGTCTGACCTTTGACTTTCTGGTTTTTCCAGATTATATTAAGCGGCTGCGGTACTGTGAGTACTTGGGCAAGTACTTCTGTCAGTGCTGCCACGAGAATGCCCAGATGGTCATCCCCAGCCGGGTTTTGCGCAAGTGGGACTTCAGCAAGTACTATGTCAGCAATTTCTCCAAGGACCTGCTCATTAAGATCTGGAACGATCCTCTCTTCAATGTGCAGGACATCAACAGTGCCCTCTATAGGAAGGTCAAGCTGCTCAATCAAGTTCGGGTAAGACCCTTGAAAAGGCCTCATCATAGATTACCCTTCTCATCCCCTTATCCCCTCTTTCTGTTCATACAGGCTTTCCCAAGATCACCGCACTTCTCTTTGTCACCACGTCAGAGCTATAACCATCTCATCATTCACACTTTCTCTATACACTTTGTTAATCTCTTGCCACTTCCCGAGTATCTATCTAGTTAGAGTCTCAAACCTGGCAATGGCAGCTCTGAAGCTGTAGATAGCACTCGATGGCAAAAGCCAAAATATTACTGAATGGAGAATAGGGTATCAGGTGGGAAATTCCAATTCTGGATTTCTCAGCGGCTCCCAGCTGTGTATGTGATTTGGGCAGACTGACCTAGCAGAGGGGCCTTCCCTGCCTGGAGGTCACTTTGAAGCAAGTTGTTGAGTTATAGGTGTAGAGAACAGTCTGGCTCTCGCTGTTGCATGCAGAGCTTCCAGACCCACAGGGTTTAAATGTACTGGTTGTTCTAACAATTGTGTCTCTCTTCTTCTTACCCCCTCTTACCTGCCACCGCCACCCCCCCACCCCCCCACCAATGTCTTTTTCTTCAGCTGCTACGGATCCAGCTGTATCACATGAAGAACATGTTCAAGACATGCCGACTGGCCAAAGAGTAAGTCTTGTGTGGAGCCCAGAGGCCTCTGGCTGGGTTAATGTCTCTGAAAGAAACATTCTGGTAGTTGGCCCTTGTTATGTGAAGGAGAGTAGGGGAATCGTGCAGAAAATTCCAGAAATGGTAAATGAGAAGCCTATAGCAGTAACTGTGTCTGTATCCTTCTCTCTGAAAGGGGAAATTTGGTTATTCTATCCAGGGCAGGCCTACCACTCTTTGCAAATTGGTAGAATCACTCTGCAGAGTAAAAGTCACTTTTGCCATCCAGACTCCTGGTAGTGTGGGAGGGCTAGGTGGTCTGGAACACCTAGGCTGGTTCAGTGTTGACCATCCTCGTTAGCTCTGCCTGGGGCCCTTCCCTTCCCTATCCTGCTTCTGGATAGAGATGCTTCTCTGATGTGCCACACAAGGTGTTCATTCTCTGCTCCCACCTGCTTCCTCTCATTTCCTGTAGGCTTCTGGATGCCTTTGACACAGTTCCGGGCCACCTGACAGAGGATCTCCACCTATACTCGCTGAATGACCTGACTGCAACCAGGAAGGGGGAGCTGGGGCCCCGGCTTGCTGAGCTCACCAGGGCGGGGGCTGCCCATGTAGAGCGATGCATGGTAAAAGAAAGTCTCGCTTTAGCATGCAACTGGGCTCCTTCTTAGGGATACGGGGAGTGGGGTGGACCCAGGGTTCTTGCCCTTCAGTTCTGAGGAGTTGAAAGAGAGAAACTGGACAGGGTTGCTCTTCCCTGGGTTGGTGAACAGCTAAATCATTCAGATCTAAAGAACCTAGAATTAGACGAGGATTTGGTGCTGGCATTGGTCATGGGTAACGGGCAGGACTAAGCAAGCCTTTGCTATAGAATTGTCATGACATGGGAGGAGAACCTTGAATTAGAGTCTGGAGAGGGACTGGGTCTTGGCTTTCTCATTTTCAATCACTGTGACCAAAGGAAGTACTTTGCCCTCTGAGATAAGCCTCAATTTTCTTGTCTTTAAAATGAAGATAATAAATAATAGCTACTATCCTTTCCTCTCAGTTTTTGAGGATTGATGAAATAGTTTATGTGAAAGCATTTTGTAAACTTTAAGTATTCTATAGAAGCAAGATATTATTGTTCTTGATATACCCAACATGCCAGAAATTTAGAAATTCCATTCTTACAATTTCCCATCTTAGAATATGTCCAGTTTGTATTCTTGTGACAGTCCCAGAAGTAGAGCTTAAAATGAGACATGTATAGAGACCCTGTGTAGTGGGGGGAATTGGAAGACTTGACTATGGTCTGACTCAAGGCTAGGTGTTATTTGGGAGAAATATCCTCGCCTTCACATTTTATCTTAATTGGCTGTGGTTCCTATTTCAAAATAAGATCATTACCCAGACTGGAATTTTGTCTTTAGGAAGAAGCCCTTTGTGGCACGTCCTTCCTTCTTTTCATCTCTTCATTGAGAGCCACTCTCGTGGTTGGAGTTTCTCAAACTCATGCCTCTCCTGTGTCCACCTTAAAGCTTTGTCTAACTCTGCCCAGCCTTGCCCCAGTTTAGCTATCATGCTTCTAAGTCCAGCTGGGATCTCTTCCCAGGAGGCAGGAGAACCCCTGAGAGCCCATTCAAGTCTTATTTATATGCTGCCCTCCTCTCACTTGTGTTCACGCTGTTGTGCCAGCTCCTGGTGTGCTGCCTCTCATTTTGCTGCCTGTCCCTTTCCTCTGCAGCTCTGCCAAGCCAAGGGCTTCATCTGTGAGTTCTGTCAGAATGAGGATGACATCATCTTTCCTTTTGAGCTCCATAAGTGCCGGACCTGTGAAGGTGAGGGCTGGTGCCAGGTGTGGAGTGGGCAAACAAGCCTGAACACAAAGCTGATTTATTTCCCTTCAGCCACCCCTATTAGTAAGAGTTTGGTTTGATTCAGCAACTCCCTGTGTTTCACCACAGGCACACCGAGCAACAGTGGTGGGAAGGGGCTGTGGCAGTGACTTACTTCCAACTTGAGATGAAAAATATTATTCTCTTCTCTCTCATCTTCCCAACCTGCAGAGTGTAAAGCGTGTTACCATAAAGCTTGTTTCAAGTCTGGGACCTGTCCTCGGTGTGAGCGGCTCCAGGCCCGGCGGGAGTTGCTGGCCAAGCAGAGCCTGGAGTCCTACATGTCAGACTACGAGGAGGAACCCACTGAAGCCTTGGCCCTAGAGGCCACCGTCCTAGAGACCACCTGAAGAAAGCACATTAAGCCCTCTTTCTAGGGGCTAGGGTCACACTAGACTGTGCAGAACTGAGCCACCCTTTTAAGGACTTTCCCCACTTGAGTTTTTTTTTTTTTTTTTGAATTATTATCATTGTTATTTTTTATGACTTGTCTAGAGTCCATGTATAGTCGACCTTTGTTAGGTTGATGGGGTCCAGCCTGTGGTGACAATTTGTGGGTACCAAGTATTTCCATCAGAACTGACACATGGGTCCTTAAGTGAAGCTTCTAGTACCTCTGTCAGAGGGATGGACAGTGGGACCCAATTCTTTCATCCATGGCCTTCTCCACTTAGACCAGATCTGGTTTCAGCTGCATCTCAAGTGTCATTTCCAGTTTTACTTTGTTTTAGTTCTGGAGCTTCTGAGCCAGGCCATTCTCAACCAACTCACTTCTCCTTTGCTGCTGAAACAGGAGGGTGGAGTTTTCTCTCCCAATCCTGAAATAGGGTCAGACTGTGCCCTGAGGAGAAGCAGCAGAGAATTGGACTACATTGTGGGCATTCTGTCCAGCTTATTTAGGTATTTTTGAGGCCATAAAAACAACATTATTACTACCCTGGAATCCTCAGAGACCTCAAGGAGGCAGCCATGACTTCTTCGTTTGAAATATTCTAGGCATAGTGATGTCGCAAGCTGACTTTCTTTATCCACCCTGGTGAGCTTGAAGCAAAGAACAGAACTGATGCTTAGGCCAGGCGCATTCATAGCCTTACACCAAGCATAGGTGAGGCTACAGCTCTGTTGCTTAAGGAGCATTTATTCAGTCAGAGGAGCTGCTGCCCACCTCTTAGGTGATAAGGTCCCTTCTAGTCAACCTGTCTCTGGGGCAGCTATAATCTTTCAAGCTCAGGCAAGTCCCTGATGCCATCCTAAATTGAGACCAGAAACCCCATTAGCCATCTTATTAGCGGGTCTCTTGCCACTGTGTCCTCTGTTAGATGGTCATTGTGGTTCTGAGTAAAAGGAAAACCCAACTCCATTCTTTCTCTGCCCTTCTTGCAGTAGAGCTGGGACCCTCCCTGATGGCTGATGTCTTGCCTTGGTTTCTTTCATCAAAGTTGGGGAAAAAGCTTCCTGCTATAGTAGTGTTAGAGAACTTGACAACTTGTGGATGTGAGTGTGAATGTTCCTGTGTTCTTGGGATAACAAGAGCCTTCATGCCTATTATGCACTTAACTCTTTAGCCTGGTGATATTCGTATGTTCAGTCATTCTTTTTCATAGTACTAATTTTAACACACATACCCCCTTTTTTTTAAATATGTGTTTTGATTGGAAAAGTTTTTGATGGGACCGTGTATATGTTTGTGGTATTCTTTAAGTTGCTGTAGCTCCTGACCTCTACGTAAAACACTGGTCAGGGTCGCTGCTCCGAGAGCCGGCAGCTCTGTGAACAAAAGCCCACGGCATTTTTGTTCTGAGACTGACTTCTTCCTGTGTACCTGTCTTTCCATAGTTAGTTGCTAGTAGAAAAAACTTGGTGTGGGCACTGCCCTAGGAAGCTGAACAGAAAGTTGCACGTGGTTGGTGGAAGCTGATGAGTGCCTGGGCTGGAGGCAACCAGGAGGCTCACGGGAAGTAGAGGGGCAGTAAGGTAATGGCCAGAGCTGAGGCTCCACCAGGGCAGGAGCAGGGAGGAATTGGCCCATGGCGTTGGTCCCTCTCTGTCAGACTGGGATCTGAAGCTGCATCAGGCTGGAAGACCCTGAGGCTGCTCTCCCTTCAGTTCGGAGGGGAGGCTCTGAAAGCCAAGGCCTCTAGCCCAGCCCAGTTTTGAAGGGCCGACTAGAAGCTCCCTTGTCCTTTAAGGAGCTTTGGGAATGACCCCACAAAACTCAAGTCTTACTAAGGGTTAGGCCTCAGATTCAGACAGAGGTTTGTAAAAAATGGTGATCTCTACTTCCAGTTTTGGTTTAAATTACAAATCCAACTCCTTACTCCAAGTCAGTACACTGGAGGAGAGATGTACTCTCATTATTGTCCTGCCTGTTTCATATTAGCAGAGGAACAAAAGATGGAAAATGCTGACAGTTTCTAAAGCTGAACTCAACGATCTTACATGCTCCTTGTTTTTCACTTATTTTTCTCCACCTCCGCCACTCCATCCTTTTTGATTACATATCTGTTTTAGTGACCCTGACAGTCTGCTGTCATCACTGTCCAAATACCCATTTGTTTATTTATTTATTTGAGAGTAAGAGGAGAGAGGAAAGAGGATGGGATGTTTTGAAAGCACTTTGTAACTTACCAGTATCTGAAAATCCCCTGCTATTGTGGGGAAAAGCTTTGAATGCACTGAAGAGAGTTCCTTCTGAATGAAATGAGAGGGAAGAAGTGTTCTTTTTTATAAATAAAGGGAAAAAAAGTTTGCTTACGAGGTGGAGACAAGATTCAAGACATAGCAGAAGAGTGGAAAGTAAATATTTTCCACTTAAATGAGGCTGTTACTGACTTTCTCTACCAAGGCTTTAGAGCTTCTGTTGATTTAATATAAGAGGAGCAAGAGTCTAAATAGAGATATTCTGTGTGTGTACAACTTGTGTTCTGAACTGGATTTCTACTTGCTGTAATTCATACATAGCCTGACAGTTCATTGTCATCTTTAATAAACTATGGAAATGAAATTCTGCCTTTTATTTGCCTGCCTTGACTATGAGGAAGTAGTACTGAGTGTCTACTGTAAAGCAGGCATGTCTGAAAATTCAGGAGGTTTCTGTGTTATAATGCAAAGAAAACTGGACCTTACAAGTC